AGGGGCGGGACTTATCCCTACATCTTCCCTTTTTGTCTAAATAAGACAGAACTAAACCAAATACAACTATATACAATAATAACAAAAAATAAATATAACAATATTGAGAACAAAAGTTTTGCTAAACATTCTATCTCAAGGAATCTAAATAATGTAGAGAGTAACTACAATTATATAATCTTCAACTCCGTCAAAGATCTAAGAAGGGAATAAATATTACTTAACAAATGCGATATATCCAAAATGTGCAACAATTGACAGAGACAACTGACTACCTGGGCAATCACCCAAAGTCTCGTTTGCAATGTTGCGTCAACCAACTTTGGCTAAGGCCTAACATAACTGACATACCATTATTAAAGGCAAGGAACTTCTCAAAACTATCTTACCCTGTCTTGGCAGGATATGACAGTCCTGTTTTATCCATTGATGTACGCTCTGTATCTCTGTCAGTGGTTGAGGTATGGGCATTTCTTTGCCCAAAGGCCAGTTCTGCCAAATAGAAAGGCTCCAGGTGGAGTGTCTTTGGTGCTCAACATTCTCTCGGGAATAGAGCGGTGTTGCCAGGAGCAATTGTGTCTCACTATCACGAAACTCTGAGTGAGATTAAAGGCCATTTTCTACTGCTCTTTGAAGAGGTTGAAGATTATCTATCTATACTAAGTATAATCTCTATATATCTAGAGAACCTGATTAGTCTAATTATAAATGACAAACTTAGATGACTATTTATCTATATAATTCTCAATATCTATCTAACTTAAAGACTAAGAAATAAACAACTGTGTAACAAATGAGGATAATGACCTCCAAATATAAACACTGTACAAATATACATTGCAATATGGTAAATATATATCAATACACAAACATTATATAAGTATCTTAATCAGAGGTAGAAATGTACACTGCAATATGGTAAATATATACAATATATATATATATCAGTACAATATATGTCAATACATAAAAACTGTTTTAAACAGAGATAGAAACATGCATGCATACAATAGTCAATATAATTTAACTTTGTGTCAATATTCAAGAATCGACACCAGTATATTTGTCTAAAAGCAGTAACTCACAATTATAAATCTATTATCCCATCATTCCCTTTTTTTTCAAAATGATCCCTGAGCTTATAAAATTCCTCCCCCAACCTCCTAACCCCTAAATGATGTCCCTAAACCCAGGGGCAAACTTTACTGGGAGAGGGGACGTCGTCCTCTAGAATTACTTCCAGCTGTCATGGGGGTGACGTTCTTTCTGGGGGATTCTGTGAAAGTAAAATGATGGTTAAATTTCAAGATCAATGTCTTTTAAAGTTGCAAATAGTCTCTGAGTATTTTGTGGAGGTCTGGCCAGAATGTTGTACAAGATGTGCACCATTTCAGCTAACCAAGTCGGGATCGTTTTGTGCAGCTGGTACCCAAAACAGGTCTTGTAGTAGCGCTATCAGCATCATGACGTCATATCAATCAGGTAGAGTTGTTGTTGTGGGGCCCCATCTTCTTCCTGGAAACTTCAAATGTCACTTCAGGAAAAACTCATTGTTCATTGTGAAAAACTTAAACATTAATCATATAGACATATATAGACATAAATATATATATTCAATGAAAGGCATGATAGATATATTCAATGAAAAGTATGATAGATATGAAGAAAAGCAAAGATGTTTTCTAAACTCATATTTCTTTCTGTCCCATATCATGGCTCTTGACATGAGACAGAAACTCCAAAAACTCTGGGTTTTTCTCTTACTAACAGGCTTGGAATTGGAGAGGGACTGAGCCAGAGTCCAACTTCAAAACCAGCTCTACATATTTATAAAGAAATGTTTAATAAGATATATATATATAAATTAATACTTACAAAATGTGTCCATCCATCAGTAATTAAATATTCAGAGTCCCTTAATTTCTTTGAAGATGAGTATTTTCCTGTGGAGATAAGAAAAGAACCCTGCCTCTAACCTATCTGTATTTCTTACCATCAGTATGTGCGCCATCCTTATGAAAGAATTGTTATTTATCTTTTCCAAATGGCTTCTCTTCTTCAAACCGAACCTTTATTAATTTTGATGGTATCCACAATTTTTCCTCACCTGTGGAGATAAGAGCAAAACCCCTTCCCCAATGTAGCACATCTCCTGGCTTCCATTGTGAGGTCAGCACATCCTTGAAATAAACTGGTTGATTTAGTTCAGTAGACTTTTCCATTATCCAATGTCTTTCTGCAGCCGTTGTTCCCTTCTCATTAGCGTTGAGAAAATTCAAGGTTAACAAAGCATTATGTAACGTATTTCTGGAGGTGTTTTCCACCCCTTTCTGTTTGTTCAACATATCCTTTATAGGATCTTTCTATGACTGCTTGACCTGTAGGATTGTATGGTATACCTTTAACATGCTTGATATTTTAATAATCAAAAAACTATTTCATTTTCCTAGAGACATAAGCAGGACCATTATCCGTCTTTGTGTAGGTATACCCATGATAGCCATGACTTCTAATAAATGAGTGATTACTGAATCAGCTTTTTCTGAATTTAAAGCAGTTGCCCACTGAAAGCCTGAATAAGTGTCAATGGTGTGATGAACATATTTTAATTTGCCAAATTCTGCAAAGTGGAACACATCCATCTGCCAGATTTCATTCCTTTGGGTGCCCTTTGGATTAGCCCCTGCAGGCAGTGGCGTTTGGTTATAGAAAGAGCAAGTAGGGCATTTCTTTACAATCTCCTTAGCTTGTTGCCATGTAATTGAAAACTCTTTCTTCAAACCTTTGCTATTAACATGATGTTTTTTATGAAATTCAGAGGCTTGTAGCACACTACCAACCAATAATTGATCAATTTCTACATTACCTTGTGCTAGAGGACCTGGCAGATCCGTATGGGATTGGATGTGTGTTATGTACATAGGGCAAAGGCTGTTCCTGATCAAATCTTGAACCTGGAGAAACAATGAGGTTAGTTCTGTATCATCAGGTATAAATTCAGCAGTTTCAATATGTACAATAACTCTTTCTGCGTATTGTGAATCAGTGACTATATTAATAGGTTCTTTAAAATCCCTTAGCACCATAAGAATGGCATATAATTCTGCCTTCTGGACAGAATTATAAGGACTTTGTTCCACCTTACCCAAGTCTTCTGATTTGTAACCTGCCTTCCCTGATTTATTGGCATGAGTATAGAATGTACGGGCTCCAGTTATTGGAGCATCACGGACGATTTGAGGAAGAATCCAAGAAGTTCTCTTTATGAAGTTAAGCCTCTTGCTTTTTGGATAGTTGTTATTAATGTCTCCCAAAAAATTAGCACAAGCTCTTTGTCATGGTTCATTATCTTCCCATAATTTCTTTATTTCATCAGCAGTGAAAGGCACTATAATTTCTGCTGGGTCTACGCCTGCTTGTTGACGAAGTCTCAGCTTGCCTTTTATAATTAACTCAGAGACTTTTTCCACATAAGTTTTCAGTTTCTTACTTGGTTTATGTGGTAAAAAGATCCATTCCAAAATAATATCATCTCCCTGCCTTAAAATTCCTGTAGGAGAAATTTTTGATGGTAGTATGATGAGAATACCATCGAGCTCTGGATTCACCCTGTCCACATGTGCCTGTTGTAATTTTTCCTCAATCATTGTCAGTTCCTTTTCTGCTTCAGCTGTTAATTCTCTGGGACTGTTTAAATCTTTATCACCATCCAAGGTTTTGTTCAAATGGATTATTAGATCAGGTGTTATTCCAATAGCTGGTCGTAGACTGGAAATGTCTCCTAACAATCTTTGAAAGTCATTAAGAGTCCGTAGGCGATCTCTCCTAATTTGTGCTTTTTGTGTCTTAATTTTTTGCAAACCTATTTTATAACCTAAATAATTAGCAGAATCTCCTTTCTGAATCTTTTCAGGAGCGATTTGCCATCCCCATTTAGGTAAAAGTATCTTTATTTCTTCAAACAGTCTGTTCAAGGTATCCATGTTTGAATCGGATAACAAAATGTCGTCCATGTAATGGTATACTATAGATTTGGGAAATTTCTTGCGTATTATTTGCAATGGTTGGTTCACAAAATATTGGCACAGGGAGGGGCTATTTAACATACCCTGGGGGAGGACGGCCCAATGGTACTTCCTCGAAGGTTGAGAATTGTTATAAGTAGGCACTGTGAAGGCAAATTTTTCTCTATCTTCTTTTTGCAAAGGTCTAGTGAAAAAACAATCCTTTAAATCAATAACTATGAGAGGCCATCCTTTTGGTAATAAAGAGGGCAAAGTCATTCCAGATTGCAGAGGGCCCATAGGTTGAATCACCTTGTTGATGGCCCTGAGATCTGTCACCATTCTCCATTTACCTGATTTTTTCTTAACCACAAATACAGGAGAATTCCAAGGGCTGATAGATTCTTCTATATGTCCAGCATCTAATTGTTCTTGTACCAGCTGTTTTAAAGCCTGTTAACTTTTCCCCAGCTAAAGGCCATTGCTTTGTCCATATTGGTTTCTCAGTCAACCATTTTAGAGACAAGGCTGTTGGTATCTCTGAAGGGACATAAATTGCTTGTTCTTGTACAGCCCGAATGGCCGGTTTCCTCCATTTGTAATATCTTTTAATATTATTCTCAGAAATATAGGCTCTAGAAGTGTTGGGGACCACGAAGCCCCCCGACCATATATACTGGTCAATCTTCCTCATTCTCTCTGCAAGGACAGCTTGCTGCAAGAGCAGCCTGCTGCTGAAAGCACACTCAGTTGTGACACAGTTCTTGGAACGGCTTAACCACAAGATAGTTCAGAAAGATATAAAGCAATTACTTCCCCCTTGGCCTAGGGCGCAATAGTTTCCATTCCCCTCTAACCTTACCCCTCCCTGCCAGAACCATTCTATAAGAATAAACCCCTGACTGCAATAAACGGAACCTAGACACATCTCAGACTGACTCTGTCATTCTTTATACGCGCTTGGTTCTCTTTCTCTTTCCCCCCATTCCTACCCAGGTGATCTCGACTCAAGGCCCACGAATTACGTGGCCTGCTGGACGGGTCCAGTGGCACCCAACGTGGGGCTGCACGAGGATCGTTGGTCACTGGACAGCCCCCAATTGAAGGAAAAAGCGTTCCGGAACGTGCTTTGGTAGAGACGCCTTGCATCGCTCGTGCATCGTCTTGAGGTAAATTCGGCTGTCTTATTAGGATGGGTAAGTCGGCTTCCAAAGAGGCCCTCTTTATAAGGGAGATAAGGAGTACTTTACTGGAAAGAGGAATAAGAGTTAAGAAAAAGGACCTCCTACAATTTTTCTTTTATACCGAGGAGAAATGTCCTTGGCTAGTCTTAAATGGCCCGGACATTCACCCCCTAACATGGAATAAAGTAGGCAAAAGTATTAATGAACTTCTGAGAAAAGGTGAGGAGGTCCCTGAAGCATTTTTTAGTTTTTATGGTATAATTAGAGACATTTTTAAAGATTCTGAAAAGGAGGGGAAAGTCTCACATCTCCTGGCACTTTTTGAGGATTTCCTTAACGAGGACCAGAAATCAAATGAGACTGCCCAGTCCGACTTAATGACTCCCCCCAAAACCACACTTCAAAAGCCGGACCCCAAGCAGGTTGCATCTATAGATAAGTCCACTTCTCCAACACCCTCCCTCTTAGATGAAAAGATCCCTAAGAACCTTACAAATCTCCATTTGCCTTTGACTGAGAAAACGCCCGCAGAGGCTACATCTTCGCCTTCTCTCTATCCTGTAATCCGTAATAATGACAATGATGATTGGCTAGACCCCACTGAGGAGATAGACTTAGAAGAAGAGGCTGCTGCTTATGAGAGGGAAAAGTATGATCTGCCTCTTGTAGCTCCCATAACAGCCCAGGAAAGAAAAAGCAGTCCTCGAAGACTTGTATGGTCTCAGCCACTCCCTTATGCATCAGTCCAGGATTATCAGGCTCAGCCATCAGCCCCTTCCTTCCCTATGACTTTGCCTTCCCACACCATGGAGACTCCTGGCCTGTATTGCCTTCCTTGTCTTTCCATTGTAGAACTTTAGAACTTTGGAGAGTGTTTTGACTTTGTCCGATGCCCTGAGAGTGTGTGGCTGTAGCCCTTAAGGGTCAATTCCGTGGCCAATGGGTTTTAGACAGGACAGTGGCCAAGCGCGTATAGAGAATGACGGAGTCGGTCTGGGATGCGTCTGGGTTCTCTTTCTCTTTCCCCCCCCCCCCCGTTCCTGCCCGGGTGGTCTCGGCTCGGGGCCCACGGATTGTGTGGCCTGCTGGAGGGGTCAAGTGGCGCCCAACGTGGGGCCCCTTGGCCCGTCCGGCGGGCCGCGTGGTTCGTGGGCCTCAGGTTGGGGTCGCCTGGGTGGGGGTGGGGGGAGGGCCTGGGCGCATCTCAGAATGACTCCCAAAAATTTCAAGTTAGAAAAGATTCCTTAAAAACATTACATGATTTTCAAAGGTTATTGGGCGATATTTAATGGTTACAGCCCTATTTACAACTCACAAAAGGTGATATTTGTCCCCTTGAAGACACTCTTGCTGGGGATGCAGATCCCTTGTCCCCTCGGATACTTACCCCGGAAGCCCTTTTAGCCCTTAAAAGGGTGGAAGATGCTATTTTAAAACAACATATAGGATATTTCTGCCCTGAACAACCCCTACAGTTAATTATCTTCCCTACAGAATTTTCCCCGACTGGCTTACTCTGGCACGGCTCAGTTCCACTCCTCTGGGTCCATCTTCCCGTTGCCAAGCAAAAAGTGCTTCCTCTTTATCCCCTTTTGGTCTGTCAATTGATTATGCTGGGTTCAAGGACTGCGACCAAATATTTTGGCAAGGAACCTGATAAAGTTATACAACCTTATGATAAAACTAATCTAGAATGGCTGGCCCTTCATCATCTTGAATGGGCTGTTCTTGTTTGCTCATATAGAGGAAATTTTGATACTCAATTGCCTAGTGATAAATTGATTCAATTCTTTTCCCATACTCCCTTCATTTTTCTTCAAAATACAAAATTAGAGCCCATTCCAAATGCATTAACAATCTTCATTGATGGATCAAAAAATGGACGGGCGGCATATGTTCTTGATGGCATAACAACTGCCATTGACACCCCCTTTTGTTCTGCACAACTCATAGAACTATATGCAGCGCTAACCGTGTTACAAAAATTTGAACGCCATCCTGTTAGTATTTATTTTGACAGTCATTATGTGGTTGGAGCATTACAAAAATTGGAAATGGTCCCCACTATTCAACCACAAACACCCACTTTTGATATGTTTCATAAGATACAAAAACTTATTAGATAGAGAGACCACCCCTTTTACATTGGACACATCCGCACGCATACAGGTCTCCCAGGCCCCTTGGCCTTAGGGAATGAGTTGGCGGATGCAGCCACCAAAATGCCCCAAGCATTTTTCTCAGAAATCAGAGGAATAGCAGCTGCAAAAGAGGCCCATCAACTCCATCATCTCAATGCTCAAACATTGCATCATAAATTCCTTATTACAAGAGAACAAGCTAGGGAAATTGTCAAATCATGCAAAACTTGTTTGCCCTATTTACCAGACCCACATTTTGGGGTAAATCCATGAGGCCTTACGCCTGGACAACTCTGGCAAATGGATGTGACACATCTGCTTACCTTTGGGAAACGCAAATATATCCATGTTACCGTGGATACCTTCAGTGGGTTCATTGTTGCCTCTGCACATACCAGAGAGGTCACCAAGGATGTTATTAGCCACATGATGCAAGCTCTGGCTACCTTAGATCAACCGACGTCTGTTAAAACAGATAATGGCCCTGGATATACTAGTTCAAAATTTAAACAGTTCTGCACAGCATTGGGAATCGAGCATGTCACCGGAATACCTTATAATCCTCAAGGACAAGGTATTATTGAGAGAACCCACCAAACTTTAAAGAATACCATTAACAAATTAAAAGCACAAGAGACATTGTTCCCCCACAAAGGTAACCAAAAATTGGTGCTTGCACAAGCCCTCTTTGTTCTAAATTTCCTGACGCTCGATGAACAGGGAAAATCGGCAGCAGACAGACACTGGCATCCCAAAACTCGTCAGGGATATGCTAAGGTTCTATGGAAGGACCCCATAACTGGGCTATAGAATGGACCCGACCCAATTCTAATCTGGGTAAAGGTTCCGCTGCCATATATGATACAAAGGAAAAAGGAGCAAGATGGCTCCCAGTCAGGCTGGTTAAACCCTTCTCTGACACCAAACAGGCCCAGGGATGTACCCCCTGAGGAAATATTTTTCTGTTTATATTGCAGAAACGCCACGCTTGAAAATGCAAGATATATTCGCAAAAAATATTGAGCCACTTTATGGAGCCCTCGCCGTAACCTTGATGTTCCTGATTGTTCTTTTCTGCTGTTTTTGCCTTTGCTGTCACATGTCAGGCCAGGAATGCACTTGGTAAGATCACACATGGTAAGGATGTTATGCTTAAGAGCAGTCTGGTCAGGTTGCCTAATATCCCTCTGGGCTGGGATAATTTTGGCTGGCTTTAAGCCCATTGACCCGGAAGCCATTATAAAGAGTCTGTATGGACCCCCTTGCGATTGCAAAGGAGGAGATGTTCTGTCCCCACCATCAACAAGTTTTAAAACTGTGGATTGTGGGACTAAGATGGCATACTTGGGTGGAGCCCGTAACAGTTATGGAGATCCCTAACAATCCACCCAACAATGGACATGTGCTGCCAAACCTAAGCGTCTTTCCCATGGTTCTCCATGTCCTAAAGACTGCAAATACACAGATCAGATGCATGCACGATGTTATTCTTCTTACTCAGAATGCATTAACAACGGCCAATCTTATTTTACTGCCCTGGTCACTCATCACTGGAAAGGAAATGCTGGAGGTGACTGGTCAGTTCAGCCACAAATCCTAGGTTCCACTAACAAACTCTCACAGGCCTCATGCACAGTCCCCATTGGCAAACTTGCATGCTGGAATAAAAATGCTCCAATCCATGTCTCCGACGGAGGAGGCCCCACGGATACAGTCCGTGAAGTTCAGATCCAAGAGGAGGTACAAAAATGGATTGACTCCCAGATTCCTCAGATTCATTATCACCCCTTACTACTTCCAAAACCTAGGGGTGTCGAAATTGATCCTCAAACTTTTGAGGTCCTTGAGGCCACTCATTACACCCTAAATATTACCAATCCTACATTGGCTCAGGACTGCTGGATGTGCCTTGCCTATGGATCCCCCTGGCCTTTAGCATTACCGTCATCTTTTAATGGCACTTTTAAATCCTCCCTTGAGAATTGTATTCTTATGCCCCCTTTTTGGGTTCAACCTGTCGCATTTAATATGACATTATGTGTTTATAAGCATTATCAAAATAATAGCTTTGATATAGATGTAGGGCTTATTACCTTTACTGCCTGCAGTTTAAAATATAATGCATCCTCTATGCTATGCCCCCCCACAGGGCATGTGTTTGTGTGCGGTGGAAACATGGCCTACACCGTTCTCCCTATGAACTGGACAGGGCTTTGTGTCCTGGCAACTCTACTCCCTGATGTTGAATTACTACCAGGGAATGAACCAGTACCCATTCCCACTTTTGATTATTTTAGTCCCAGACATCAAAGAGCCATTCAATTCATTCCCCTACTTGTGGGGCTAGGCGTTGCTGGCACCCTGGGGACTGGAACTGCAGGATTGGCCACTAGCCTTTCTTCCTATACTAAGCTCTCCCAACAATTGGCAGATGACATTACTAAGGTCTATACCTCGGTACAGGATCTTCAAGATCAGATAGACTCCCTTGCGGAGGTCATACTTCAAAACCGGAGAGGTTTGGATTTGCTCACAGCAGATAAGGGTGGACTATGCTTAACATTACAAGAAAGATGTTGTTTTTATGCCAATAAGTCCGGCATTGTACGGGACCGAATAAAACATCATCAGGAGGAATTAGAACAACGCAGATGCGAGCTGCACAACCGGCCAATATGGACCGCTTGGGGAGGAATCCTCCCATACCTTCTTCCCTTTTTTGGTCCGCTTTTGGGACTCCTTTTGCTTATTTCCTTTGGGCCATGGGCTTTTAACCGTTTAACGCATTTTATTAAGTCTCAAATAGATTCTGCATTAAAACCTGTTGAGGTTCATTATCATCGCTTAGCTGCCAATGAAGAAGCTGCCAATGAAGAAGTTGCTGTGATCGAGCTACAGAAGATTTCCCTTCCTTCCCCTCAACCCTTATCCCTTTCTCACTCCCCACTTAGATTTCATACCCCAAGCCCAGGCCCAGGATGGAAATTCTGGACAAAATTGTAAAATTTGGCCTTGCTAGATCTGTCCCCATGGTGCTTTAGCCCAAAAATCCCATGAGGAAGAAGACTGGAAAGTCAGTGACGGAAGAATTGTTTAAGCCTAGGCCCACCTAAGACAGGGCAATCCTAATGGGGAAAATGTCCCAAAGACGGGTAAAGGTCTAGCATCAGTCTTCTAACAGGCTCAGTCTCTCTCATGATTCTGAACTTGACACCAGCCATAGAGTTGCAGAATACCCACCGTCGAGGCCTTGCACGCTGATAGCTAGTTCTCATTGCACCAGCTTAGGCTCGGCACCGAGGCCTTGCACGCTGAGGGTTAGTTCCCATTGCACCAGCTTAGGCTCGGATCAATTTTGGGTCTGCTCTGGCTACAGAGTCTTTGGTCTCTCGATTATCAGAGTAGCACCCAGATCCTAAATCCCAATTGGCTCATTTATATATAGAGAGAGGGGGAGATGTTGGGGACCAAGAAGCCCCCCGACCAAATATACTGGTCAATCTTCCTCATTCTCTCTGCAAGGACAGCTTGCTGCAAGAGCAGCCTGCTGCTGAAAGCACACTCAGTTGTGACACAGTTCTTGGAACGGCTTAACCACAAGATGGTTCAGAAAGATATAAAACAATTACTTCCCCCTTGGCCTAGGGCGCAATAGTTTCCATTCCCCTCTAACCTTACCCCTCCCTGCCAGAACCATTCTATAAAAATAAACCCCTGACTGCAATAAACGGAACCGAGACGCATCTCAGACTGACTCTGTCATTCTTTATACGCGCTTGGTTCTCTTTCTCTTTCCCCCCTTTCCTACCCAGATGATCTCGACTCGAGGCCCACGAATTACATGGCCTGCTGGATGGGTCATAGAAGAAGCAGGAATGTTAATTTCGGTATTCCATTGTTGTAATAGGTCATGACCCCATAAATTCATTGCGATATTGGCTACATATGGCCTTAATTTTCCTATTTGTCCCTCTGGACCTATACATTCAACCCATCTCGTGCTCTGCCTTACTCGAGATAGGGTTCCAATTCCCAGGAGCTGAACATTTACATTCTGAAGAGGCCAATATGGATGCCAAGATTCTGGGGTAATGATACTTACATCAGCACCTGTGTCCAGCAGGCCAGTAATAAAAATGCCATTTACACACACTCTCAGTTTAGGTCTTTGATCATTTATAGAAGTTTGCCTAAACACACATAACTTATCTTTCTGGTCATTATTGCTTGTAATAGTAGGCATGGGGCTTCCTAATTGTCCTGACGAGGCACGTTCTCTGCAGAAACTGGAAATGACTGAACCATGTTTGCCATGGGGGCCTGTGAGGCCCCCCTCTCACGTTTCCCATCTGTATTAGGTTGCCTTGTCTATATCTTGTAGACCTGCATTCATTCGTCCAATGTCTACCTTTTCCACATCTTCTACATAAACCTGAAGGCTGAGTCCTCCTATTTCTGTTATTTCTAGGAGATGCATTATTATTATTATTATTTCTGAAAGGTGCATTATTATTATTATTATTATTATTATTATTATTTCTGAAAATCCGTTGTCTACAATTCCTTTTCATATGACCCATTTTGCCACAATTAAAACATTTGGTATTCTGGTGTCTCCTTTTACCATTGGAAATTCCTTCTTCTACCCATGCTTCAGTGCCATAATCAAATGTATCAACATTGAGTGTATGCAAGACCCATTCTTCCAAGGGCGCTGATCTGAGCTTTAAAGGCCCCAAAATCCTTTTGCATTCCACATTTGCATTTTCATAAGCCAAAGACTCAATCATTATACGTCTTGCTTCTGGGTCAAATATCCCTATTTGTACAGCCTTAGTTAATCTTTGTAAAAAGTCACTAAAGGGTTCTCTCTGACCCTGTTTAACTCTGACAAATGATTCCATTCTCTGTCCTGGGTCTTGTACCCTGTCCCAAGCCCTTAAGGCTGCTGTAGTACACATGGAGAGTGTGTTTTCATCCAAATTAGCTTGTTCCTGGGGGTCGGAAAAGAGCCCTTCACCTAGAATTTTATCTAGGGAAATGTCAATTCCCTTCACTTTTTCCTGCTGTTCTAAAAGTCTAGCCTCTTGCCTGAATAAGCATTTTCATTTCAACTGCGGTCCACTCTCAAGTGCCGCAGAGCTCAGCTGGAGCCAGTCCGAGGGGGTTGCTCTGCTTGTTGTGGCCCAAGATCTTAGCATCTCTTTAACAAAAGAGGCTTGCATCCCAAAAGTCATGACAGCCTGTTTAATTTCCTTGAGGTCATTCATACGGACAGGCTCCCATGTATCCTCCTTGATGACCCTAGGGTTTCTGGAACCAATCACCTTCTCTGTTGTTATTACTGGAAAGGCAGGTAGAGCTGTAGGTAGAGCTTTGTGGAAATTGTCCCGGAGAGATTTACCCACAGATGTAGTTAAAATTTGCCTTTCTACCCTTTGCTCTTCTTCATCAGAATTTAGAAATTCCTCAATCTTTTCAATTCTATTCACCATTGCCTTCTGCAATGTCTGAATCTCCTGTCCAGAATTAATGTTCCAAAGCCTTCATTGAGGATTCTAAAGTATGAAGTTTGTCCATTAGAGATAACATCTCATCTTTGGACATAATTTTTATGGCATAAACCATGCCTTCTTGTATTGACAATCTTTCCGCCAATCTGTCATAAGCTTTAGACAAAATCCGATTGACACATTCAGCAGTTTTGATTCTCTCAGTTAATGTTTCATTTCCTACAGAAAGGGACTGAAGCTTATGATCCAAATCAGCTGTTCCCTCTTCCATAGTAATGAATTTCTCCTTAATATCAGCCACTAATATTTCATTTCCTACAGAAAGGGACTGAAGCTTATGATCCAAATCAGCTGTTCCCTCTTCCATAGTAATGAATTTCTCCTTAATATCAGCCACTAATATTTCAGTTCCTACAGAAAGGGACTGAAGCTTATGATCCAAATCAGCTGTTCCCTCTTCCATAGTAATGAATTTCTCCTTAACATCAGCCTGGAGAACTTCAAACTGATTCTTGAGAAGATTGTTGTCATTCTCAATTGTTTTTCAGCGTTCAATCTCTGCTTTAAGAATCCTGGATTCGTCTCGTAAAGACTTTATCATATTTCTATTATCAAACCATTTAGTGCCAATGAAAACTACGAATCCCAGAAGGATCCAAAGATGTGGGGTGATAGACACCTCTTGTAAAATCTCCCACATGGTACAATTAAAAAAAACTGTTAAATTCTTGAATAGTAATGTGTTCAGACATTTTATTTATAAAAGAAAATTTTTTTACCTGCAATGATTGGTTCCTGCCAGTGGTGGTCTCTGTGTTTTTGGAGCCTGTCCTAGAAGTAGCTCTTGTAGACCCGGCTGGCCTCGAACTCACAGAGATCTGCCTGTCTCTGCCTCCCGAGTGCTGGGATTAAAGGCATGCACTACCACTGCCTGGCCGGCCTCGAACTCACAGAGATCCGCCTGCCTCTGCTTCCCAAGAGCTGGGATTAAAGGCGTGTACCACCACCGCCTGGCCGGGCTTGAACCCACAAAGATCCGCCTGCCTTGCCTCCCAAGTGCAGGCAGAATGGGCCTGTGTGGCCGAGTGTGTCTCGGACTCGGCACTGGGGCCCGAGTCATGAACTAAAAAACAGCATCCAGGGGCATGCTGTGTTAGCTAGCAGGCTACGCGCTCGAGTCAGGGGCAAAATAGCCCGATGTTGGATGCCAAAGTGTAACGGTGTAAACGAATGCAGACAGATTGTATACATTTTGTATACAGCTTTAATGGAGAAATAGACTTACAGAACCATCGTTCCCGTGGAGACCAGGAAAGCAGAAGCAGCAGCTGGGAGCACGGTCACCAAATTTATAGGCAAACATTAACCCGAGGCAAACATGCCCCTTTGCGGGACTTATCCCTGCAAAGGTTAAGCTCAAAGGGCCCACAGTTAGGGTCTAAACCTTGCTTTGTTGCTCTTGCAGTTTTTTTCTTATTTGAAATGTTTGTATTAGAAAGAATATGGGGGAGGTGAATTGGCGTCAAACACAGAGGCTGCTCTCCCCAGGCTCTCAGGTCTGGGAGGGCACACTCAAGCAGGAGCTGCTAGCTCTACCCGGGCCTGAATCACTGAGGGTGGCAACACAGCCAAACAGGCATGGGAGTCTAACCCTGGCCAGCAGTGGAACTCCAACCAAGCCCCCACCCCATACTCTGTAGCTGGGGTTGACCAAAAGCAGCCAGATGCAGCAACCAGGAGTCTGCCCACCATAGGCACCAGGCAGTCAGGCTCTATAAGGATCTCCTTGTGATGAGGACCCATGGCCCAGCTCTGCATGACATGGCATGAGACAGGAAGACCCACACACAGGCCTGGAGATGCCCACCCTGGGCTCTGAAGAGAAGGCACGGGCCCACCTTGCACCTTGCAACACCAGCCAGAGGTTGTTATTAGAATGAGCAGATGTGTGGTATGATGCCTTATGGGGGGGGCAGGCTCAGCTCCTGTGGACAGAGACCAGAGAGGAAGGGAGTGCTGGGCTGAGGTGGTGAGGGCTCACACCTTCACCCTTGGCAACCATGGGAGAGCAAGCCCTGCACTTTGGGCAGTACAGCGGAGATTGCCCTGATGATGAGAGCACAGTGAGCCAATCCGGAGGATGAGAGTAGGAGACCTAGTCCCGCCCCTAATTTGCCACATGGCAGCATGGGCTGGGAAGAGATGCCCCCACCCACCCATTAATGCCTGGGGGCAGGTGGGAAACCAAGTCCTGTGGTCATAAGAGCAAGACAGCTGTCCCTGACCCCCACCAGCTGCAGCACTCAGGAGAGCAGGCTCAGGACCTCTCCAGGGCAGCACAATAGAGGCCTACCCTCTTAGCGCAGGTGTGGGTGAGCCAGCTCCGAAGATGTGACCAAGGAACAGCTGTCCTCATTTTTCATCCGTTTTGTGGCAGTATGGGCAAGGGGAAGATGCCCCCACACACACTGCCCATCACTTCCAGAGGCAGGTGAGAGAGCAGGCCCTGCACCTTCCCCAGGCAACACAATAGAGCCAACCCTGTTGGTAGAGGTTGCTGTGGAATAATAATAATCATTTTGTACACTGTAAAGATTTGTCACTTGAATTGGTTGAATAAAAATTGACAGGCCAGTAGCCAGACAGGAAGTATAGGTGGGGACAAACTAAGGATGATGGGAAGGAGAAGGGTGGATTCAGAGGTGCCGCCACCAGCAGAAGAAGAGGAAACAGGATGTGTAAGGACTGAGGTAACAAGCCATGAGCCACATAGAAGAGGGTGGATAAGAAAAATGGGCTAATTTAAAGTGTAAGAGTCAGTTAGTAATAAGTCTGAGCTATCAGCTGAGTTTTTATAACTAATATTAAGACTCCATGTAGGTTATTTGGGAAATGATATAGAAATAGGATAAAAAAAAGTAGGTTCAATAATTTACAGGTAAGCTTTATTTGTTTAAAGTATAAACAAAATATCACCACATTGGTGGGTAAAAAATTAAAACGCCTGCCAACAGAGGTGTGGGTGAGAGAGTCCCAAAGTTGTGAACAAGGGAGAGCTGTCCCCATTACTCATCTGTTGTGAGATGGCATGGGCAGGAGAGGGTTGCCCTTCCCCACCACAACAATGCCTGGGGCAGGTGGAAGAGCCTTCCCTGACCCCCAAAAGATGCAAGCAACACTTTGGAGAGCAGGTCCTGTACCTAATCAGGGGACCACAATCG